TTTCGGGTTTGGTCATGTACATGGACCCCCCTCTCATATTTCAATATCCCTACCCCCATCTTCTCTATTATTATTATATTATATTATTATTTTATAAAGTGTACTAGTTTTAGTGAAATATATCCTAGGTCCAGTAGTCCACCCTAGTTAGAAATAAGCATATGTAGGCCTAGCTAGGCTTACTAATTGCCCTCTATCGGGGAAGGGGGCGTGTGATAGAGACCGTTCCGCAAATTTTGACCTCAATGACATTTGTGACCTTGAACATAAAATAATCGTCATAAATATGAAAGCACAATTTTTTTAAACCAAACACATTTTTTTTATGTAGAAAACAACATATTCCACATAATGCGTAACATTTATGAGCATAGGAATTTTTTTTAGTGTCGTTTACATGGGGTTTATGGGAAAAAAGTACCCTTTTTGGGCCCCTAAATTGCAATTTTAGGCAAATGAACTTTGACCTAGGTAAAAAAGTCAAATGATTTTGCTATTTTTCAAAAGCCCAAAACATTTTACCCAACAATCAAACCCAACATTTGCAGAAAGTTACAGTCATAAAAATTTATCAATCAATGAAGATATGAAACTGTCCAATTAAATATTCAAATATGGTTTATAGTGAAAAGTTGTATTCTTCACCTTAAGGGTGTGCTCCAATGAACACTTTCTGTTAAACATAATTGACTAGTTTTATTTTTTACCCTAAAGAAATGAAAGGGTTGCCAGTTGAAGATTTATGATAAACACAAATATGGATCACAATGATGGTTTAACCCTAAATTTATAAATGTTGCATAGGCTTAGCCAGCAAGCTGTCTGGTCATCCGCCAACAATTATTTAGGACGGCCACTTTTACTGTGACGGCTTAACCTAATCAGCTCGGCCTAGCTTAATTAGTCTACCTATAGCAAATTATAAATAATCAAAATCATTTAGTTCCTTATAGAAGTTTTATTTTGTATTGAAGTGCTGATGTAAGCAGACCTTGATTTAAAGAAAAAACAGGAGCTACTAACAGCTCTCCTCAAGAAATTGAGGAGAGCTGTTTTTTAGCAACAAAATTTGGTCAAACGGCCATTTCATTAATTTTAGCACTAGGCCTACAGTTACTGTCTGTTGTTACAATGTGCAAGAGAATGAACAATAAATTATGTATCAGGACATAAATTCCCAGCAAGGATTATTCAAAATTAGCTTGGTTCCGATTGTCTGGAAATGGTTTCGATCGTCTGTCAATGCAATAATCAAGGACTTACGATCTGGCCCTCGTCTAAGTAGGCCTATCCTAGGTTAGGGCAGACTAGGCCTAGCCTTGGGAGATACCACGATTTACTTACTTAGCCTTAGGCTAGGCCTAGCCTTTGTCTTAGGAATCCTACTGCCGTCACTCGGCTCTACAGTACGTACACCGTAAAAGCGACCCATTCTTAAAATATTACACATGTTATTTAAATGTATTTTTCGTATCAGATAAGAACACGAAATCGTTGATTAAGTAATTAACGATATTTCTACCACTATTGCATAGGCCTAGATAACCCCTGAACATGTGCTATTGGAAAAACCCAAACCAAGAAGTCGTTATATGTACACGACGGTCGGCTGCCTTTAGGTCTACTCTTAATCCTTGGTTGTCGTCAGTTTGCGTCCAACGGGTACACTACCAGCTGACCGGCTGTCGTGAATATAGTGCCTTCATTTAGTCGTCGTCATACAGCCACTGCCCTGCATCCACCACGTTAAAATAACAAATAACACATTGCAAAGCACGCAATGACGTTTGAAATTAGACTACTTGTACAACAACACGAAAAAAACGTCGCATGGCTATGGAGTTAGCGGAAAATGGAGCTCGAACGGAAAAAATGATGTATTTTAGCAAGTATTTGAAACTTTTGTAATGAAACTTGGTATTTTTGTTGCTCCCCTAGAAAAATTCAGGAGCACTATTGATTGCTCTCCTCGCATAATTTCGAGGAGCTCCGGCACGATCGCGCGCCTTTTAAATCAAGTTCTGATGTAAGGGCAAATAGAAAAATTTATTAGATTATCACTCCCGCCCACGTCAAAAATTCGGGAAATATTGATGCAGGAATAAAAAAAAAATTTTTTTTTTGCCGCATCAATTATTTTAACAGCATAAAAATAACAATGCAATTTTGTGACTTCAAATACATTTTCTTTAATTAAAAAACTATAAAACCAGTAACCAGTAACCAGTTTTTATACAATATTTATTATTACAGACCAAATATAAACACTCCCTCCCTCATCAATAAAAACAAAAGCGAAATAATATATTGTTCCAATTTAAAAACAAAAACAAAAAAACGCCCTCCCTCATCAATTTAAAAAAAAAGAAAGATAATTTAATAATTTTTTCTAAGACTAAGTGCCCTAAACATTGATTCCAATAATCCTCTCAGTCAGGTTGTCTTTTTGTACAAAACCTGCTGTATTATTATAGGCCCTAGGCTAGCTAGGCAGTTTTCTTTGGCTTAATTATTCATTACTTAACTAGTCTTAAGTCGAAACTTCGGTACACCAGGTCTAGGCTAGGAGGGCACAACAACAGAAGGGAGACTGTCTGTCTTGGCTAGCCTAGCCTAGCTAGAGAGGCCAATGTTTTATTACATCTCTCGTTAGGCCTAGCCTAGGAAATAATATGTAGTTAATTGGTTACTTACTGGTACAATTAGGCCTTCTACTCTTTGTATGACAAGATTATATGGTTTAGATGGGTTATCTTCTACCTCATCACTCCTTTCTCCGGCATAGGTCAATGTATTTGATTCAAAAAATACATCTTTCCAATTTCTTCGCTTCTTGGCAACAGACGCCGCCATTTTAACAACTCATAAAGCGCCCTCCCCCATCAAGAAATCAAGAAGTTTCTAAAAACACGTACACCAAAGATACTAGAAATACAAGATAGAGTTCTCGCATTGTAAAAATGAGGCGGAAGTCGTGCCCAACGTAGGCGGCGCCCTTCTTTTTAACCATGCAAGTTTACTATACTTCGTGCCCAACGTACAGGGCGCCCTTCTGTTGCTAAGTATATCCAGACGCAAAAGGCGCCCTTCCTTTTCCACTAATGGAGGAAAACTTTCACTAAGAGTGCGTCCGGCCATGC